CCAAGGACATCAGGCACATTCCTGGTGCTGACAGTGTCAGAGTCTGGGTCAGTAAAGCTCCACATACCAACTCTAATGATTTTTCTTTATAGCATGCTGGAAAACTGTGAGGAAAAACAGACCAGGGCACTCATGGACATCATGGTGGTTTTGACCCAAGATGATTGTAGTCATGTCAAGCTGAATCCCTACACACGTTTCTGTTTTATTTCCATATATATTCATATATGTATTTATTTATATATTTAATTTGTAGGTCTAGCTTATGAAGGAAGACACGTGATCTTTGACTTTTTGAGTGTATACATTTAACTTGTAGGTCTAGCTTCTATGTATGAAGGAAAACATGCAATATTTGATCTTTTGAGCCTGACTCACTTTGCTTAACATGTTCTCCAGTTACATCCATTTACCTGCAAACAACATAATTTCAATTTTTTTCTTTATGCCTGAATAAAACCCCGTTGTGTGTATATACCACATTTTCTTTATCTATTCATCAGTCATGGGGCATCTGGGTTGTTTCCAAAGCGTGGCTGTTATGAATAGTGCTGCAGTAAATTGGGTGTGCAAGTGGCCCTATCTTATTCTAGAGCACATTCCTTCAGATATATGCCCAGGAGTGGTATTTCTGGATCATATGGTAGTTTTATTTTAGTTTTTTGAGGGACTTCCATACTGCTTTCTATAGTGGTTGTAGTAATTTACCTTCCCACCAACAGTGTAGAAGTGTTCCTTTTACCCGCATCCTCTCTAGCATTCGTTACTGTTTGCGTTATTGATGATAGTAACCATTTTGACTGGGGCACTGTGGAATCTCACTGTCGTTTTGATTTGCATTTCCTTCATGGTCAAGGATGTTGAGCATTTCTTCATGTATCCATTGGCCATTTTTACTCTTCTTTTGAAAAGTGTCTGTTCAGTTCATTTGCCCATTCAGTGGAATTTTGATTCTTTGAGAGGTTACTTTTTGAGCTCCCTGTATGTTCTGGTTATTAATCCCTTATCAGATGTATAGTTGGTAAAGATTTTCTTGTATTTTATGAGCTGTCTCTTCAGTCTGGTATTGTTTCCTTTGCTGTTCAAAAACATTTTAGTTTAATGAAGTCCCATTTGTCAACCCTTTCTCTTAATTGCTGAGCTATTAGGGTTCTATTCATAAAGTTATTACCTATGCCTATGTGATCCAGGGTGTTCCCTATTTTTTCCTGATGTAATTTCATCATTTCAGGTCTTACATGAAGGTCTTTAATCTACTTTGAATTGATGATAGTGCAAGGTGAAAGACTGGGACCTAGTTTCAGTCTTGTTTTCTGAAGGTGGAAATCCAATTTCCCAGCACCATTTGTTGAAGAAGCTATCTTTTCTTCAAAGCATGTTTTGTGCTCTTTTGTTGAAAATCAGATGACTGTAGTTGCATGGGTTTGTGTCAGAACTTCTATTTTATTCCATTGGTCTTTGTGTCTCTTTTTGTACAGTACTGTTTTTATTACTATGGCTCTGTAGTATAGTTTGAAAAAAAAAGGAAGGTATTGTGATACCTCCAAATGTAGCTCTTTTGGCTCAGGATTGCTTTAGCTATTTGTGGTCTTTTGTGCTTTTGTATGAACTTTAGGATTGACTTTTCTATGTGAGGAATGTCATTGGAATTTTGATAGGGATCGCATTGGCTTTTGGTAATATAGCCATTTTCACGATACTGATTCTGCTAATCCATGAGCATGGAATTCCCTTCTATCTTCTAATGTCTTTGTTGATTTCTTCCTTTAGTGATTTGTAATTTTCATTGTATAGGTTGGTCACCTCCTTCATTAAATTTATTTCTAGATATTTTAATTTTTTTGAAGCATTGTGAATGGTATTGTTTTTCCTGATTTATTTTGCAGGTTGTTTGTTGTGTATAAAAATGCTACCGATTTTTGTGTACTGATTTTGTATCCTGCTACTTTGTTAAGTTGTTTATTAGATCTAAGTTTTTTTGGTTGCAGGATCATTGTATCTGCAAATAGGGACAATTTGACTTCTTCCTATTTGAATTCCTTGCATTTCTTTCTCCTCTTATTTTCTGGGTAGGAATTCTAATACTGTTCTGAATAGGGGTGGGGAGAGTGGAAGGGGATTCTTAGACAAAGCAAATTCCTACATGGATTTTCTGCTAAGAACTTTATATATATCTAGTCCTAATTACATCTCCTTGAGCTATAGGTGTTATTATCTTCATTGGTTTAGAAATTAAGTGTAGAGTCAATAAGTTGTATGGAAATTTAGATTTAAACCAAGGTTGTTAAGTTCATGTTCTTTTTACTAATCATACACGGTCCATGACTGATTTCTTTTAACTTTTTACTCCCTTCTGGTTTGCTTGCTTGCACTGCAGTGATTTTTCTAGCATGTAGCTCTAATCATGTTGCCTTTATTTTGCTAAAATTTGTTTATTCTCCTGTATCATAAAAAAACAAACTTCTATTTGAGTGGGGTGAAATAAAAGACTTTTAAGAAACTTGCTCTTTTTAGGGCTGGTGGTATGGCTCAAACAGTTAGAGCACCAGCCTAGCAAGTGTGAGGCTCTGCGTTCAAACCTTAAGGCTGCCAGAAAAACCCCCAAAAATAAGAAACTCACTCTTTTTATTTCCTGTATATTCATTTCTTCAACCTTTAAGACTTAATTCAAGGTTACTTCCTGTGCAAAGTAAGAGGCAAGCTGATTTGTATGTTTTAGAAGAAGAAATTAACTGATTTTTACCAATTCTAGGGCCATTTTTGTGAGTTAAATTTAATTAAGAACTTTTCATCTTACAATGAATTTTTGTTTTGTAGACTCCAAACTATATGAATTTCAGATAGTGCACATAAAAGTAGTGACAATCCCATGTGCTTCTCTTTCTTAGGGACCTAGTGTATTTCTCATTTAACTCATCAACAAATACTTCTCTGTTTCAAGCAGATGCCAAGATCCCATCTCAACAAACAAGCTGGGTATGGTGGTACATTTCTGCAATCCCAGGTACACAGAAAGCATAGGTAGGAGAATTGTAGTCCAAGCCTGGCCTGGGCAAAAAAAGTGCAAGACCTGAAAAATAACTGGAGGCTGCAGGCATGGCTCAAGTGGTAGGGTGCCTGCCTAAAAAGTACAAGCCCCTAAAGTTCAAACTCCAGTAATGCAAACAAACAAACAAAAATTACATCTATAGAAGAAAGAAGGCGGTACTTCAAATGAGTATTTGTAAGATTTTCAGACCAGTAAGAATGAGAAGCCAGGCACCTGTGGCTCTTGCCTATAATCCTAGCTATTGAGCGGATCGCAGTTTGCCTAGGCAAAAAAAGTTTGTGAGACCTTATCTCAATGGGAAAAAACTGGGTGTGGTGGCCCGTGCATGTCTGTCATCCTAGCTACTGCAGGCAGCATAAAATAGGATTACAGTCCAGGCCAGCCTGTGCAAAAAGCAAGACCCTGTCTCAAAAAAACAAAAAACAAAAACAGAAAAAAATGGCTGGAAGTGTGACTCAATTGGTAAGTATGCCTGCCTAGCAACAGCAAAGCCCTGAGTTTAAGCTTCAGTACCACCAAAAAGAAGGAGAGTACTTGTGTGTAGTTGATTTGGACAGTTTATTCTACTCTAACTATGTTGTCTTAGTTCATGCTTCTGTAACAAATACACTATGAACTGGGTATCTCAAACAACAAATTGCCATATCGTTTTGGAGGATAGGAAATTTGAGAATCAGAGACTGGCAGATCCAGTGCTGGCAAGGATTAGATAATTACTTCTAGAAAGTAGACAGAAAAGGCAAGATCTCTTAGGTCTTTCTCTAAGGGTACTGATTACTTCTTAAAGGCCCCATCTCCTAATACTATCACATTGAGCCTTAGGATTTTGATGAATGAATTTGTGAAGAGGACAAACATTCAGTCCATAATACTATTTAAATATTATAGTCTTCATTTTTGTTATTATCAGTTCTTTTCTATTTTATGCTGCTATTGCACAAAACCTGAGATTGGGCTTTTTTTTTTTAATGAAAAGTAATTTATTTTGTCTCATGGTTTTGGTGGCTGTGAAATCCAGCTTGAGGAGCCGCACTGGGTGAAGGCCTTCTCTCTGTGTCATCCCATAGAAGGACGAAGTGTAGGGGAGAGGGAAGGGGACCGAATTCAATGTTCTATCAGGAATTTAACCCTCCTCAGTAATAACCTATTCCTGCTGTAATGGCAGTAATCTGTTCATTAGGATAAAGTCCTCATGACCTGATTACCTCTCAACCTTGTTTGCGTTGGGGATAATAGTTCCAACACATGAACGTGGTAAGATACATTCAAACCATAGCAACACTGTCCTTTAAAACTTCTAGAATTCTTGGTGTATTGTAATATGCAAAGTTGTTCTGATTTTGGTTGTCAGTGCCCTGACCTTATTTTATATTATTCCTATTCCTTATTTTAAATACAGTTAAGAGTTCCTGTGTTCTGATCTGATTTTTTTTGCTGTTTATTTCCTTGTATAGCAGTTTATCATTAAGGTTGGTTGTGGTGACTATCTCTTCAGTGTTGGCAGCCTAATATGAAACTCTGATTATGAAAATTTTATACTCTTGAAAACTTATAAGTGAATGAATTTTAGGAACATCTTGAATATTTTGAGGTTTCTATATATAATTTTATGTATTTTTCTGAGAAAGTAATCTCTAGATCTTACCAAAATCTGGAAGTAGTCTGTAACCCCCCCAAAGTTAAGACCTGTAGTTAGTTACCTTGGTTACTTTGTAGCAGACTCATGCATGCTATTCATTACTTTTAAAGATAGTGTCAGTTGTGATGCTGTTTCAGTCTTCTAAAGTATATGTTGGTTTTTATTGGATGTTCTCCTTTATCAATTTAGAGGTATCATAGACATAAACATGAGTTTATCTTTTTAATGTAAATGATCGATTTCATCCTGTCAGTGTTTTGACATTTATCGTATGTGGACATTCATATAAGTTGCTTGTTTTATTTTTTTCAGAAATGCGAGATAAAATGAGAAAGTGGAGAGAAGAAAACTCACGAAATAGTGAGCAAATTGTGGAAGTTGGAGAAGAATTAATTAATGAATATGCTTCTAAACTTGGAGATGATAGTAAGTTCTTCAATTAATTGTATTCTGGCTCAGCATGTGTCATTTATGGTTCTTCATTTTTTTTTCCTCTACTAGTTGTATCACTCTTATCTGTGACTTTTTGTCTTAGGAAATGTAATGATACTTTATTTTGAGAAAGATTTATAATTGTTGGTAGTAGTGAAACTATTAAACGAGCATTTTTGTTTTAAAGCTCACAAAGCTACTAATGTTTGGCCAAAGTATATTTCATAAAGTCATTCTGATCTGGCCAAAATGTATTTTATATAGAATCTTTTAGAATTGTTAAAGGAAAGGTATTAAATAATTTTATGTATAAAATAATTTATGTTGCTAAATGCACATGAGATTACTTTCCTTAATTTTAGAAATAATAGAATAAATAAGTAATGTTCTCTAAAATTAGAGGAATTCATTAATTTCTCTTTGGAGATTTTTATATTAAATTTAGGTTTTTTTCTCCTCTTTGTATATCTAGTTTGGATCATATATGAGCAGGTGATGATTGCAGCCCTAGACTATGGTCGGGATGACTTGGCATTGGTAAGTATTTAATTGTATTTTATCATATTTAATTTGCCTTATAAATTATATGCAAATACTTAAGATATAATATATGAAGCCAGGTGCTGGTGTCTCACACCTGTAATCCTAGCTACTCAGGATGTAGAAATCAGGAGGATCGTAGTTTGAAGCCAGCTTGGGCAAATAGTTTGTGAGACCCTATCTCAAAAAAACCCTTCACAAGAAAAGGGCTCGTGGAGTAGGGCTCAAAGTGAAAGTCCTGAGTTCAAGCCCTAGTACCGAAAAAATAAAAAAGATTTAGTGTATGGCTTGCATTTAATGTTTTCTGTAATGCATTTTGAATGCTGCTTGGGATTATAGTTCATTGGTAAAGTGTTTACCTTGCATGTATAAGCTCCAGATAATCCCTTTTCAAACACAGTAAAACCTATATAGACCATTCTTTATAGCCTATTTAGGATATATCATGTAATTAGTACTTTTCAAGTCTATTTATGTTAATTATATTTTTCAGTTTTGTCTTCAGGAGTTAAGAAGACAGTTCCCTGGCAGTCACAGAGTCAAGCGATTAACAGGCATGAGATTTGAAGCCATGGAAAGGTAACCAAATCTTTTGAGCAGTATGATAACACTTAAAAATGTCAACCATGGAACATGTGTGTAGGTCCTCCTATACCCATTGCACATCATTCATTGTACACAGTCTTTCACTGCTAAGTTCTACACAAAATCTTGCCCATTATTCCCAGGAAATGGGATTTAACATAGAAGTGTAATCCATTTGCCATCTCTGGACTAGTAAAATAGATCATGCTTTAGAGTAATAACTGGCTTCAGATACTGGTTCTAGCATTTCCTAGTTTTCTGGGAATTTTTATTGTTGTTTTGTTTGTTTATTTTTGAGGCAGGATCTCACTGTATCACACAGAGTGACGTCAAACTTGAGATCCTCCTGCCAAAGCTCCCAAGTGCTTTCATTATAATCATGTGCTACCATGTTCAGCTTCCTAGTTTTTGACTTAAAAAATCAACTTCTTTTAAGTTTTTTCAGCTCCACAGTGCTAAAGTAAGAGTACTACCAACTTTCTATGGTTTGGAGAAGTACATAAACACATGTACTCTCAAAATAAAGCACATTAAAAACATTCTTTATCCTCTATAACAGATTTTTCAAGAACCCTTTTTCCAAATAACATTAACCCAAAATGGAAAAGAGAGAAAAGATGATCAGTTCTCATTTAACCAAGGGTAGGGATTCAATTGTCATTGATAACTTTTGAAGCATATCTTTGGGGAACTATTAGAGAATTAAGAGTTCATTGTGGCTAGAGTGTAAGCTGTATGTTTTGTAGGTGAAAGGAAAACATAAAATGATTTTTGGTTTTCTATTGAATGCCTAGTTGCCATCAACAAAAAAGAAAACTGATAGAATGAGGAAGTAGTAGGTTTGGGTACAAAAACTTGAGTTTGAAGTATGGGAAATCTAGCTGTGAAAAATAAGGAAGATGTTGAATATGTATTTTAAAGAGAGGTCCATGGGGAACAAAATTAGAATACAGTCTAACCACAAAGATTTATACTTGTATTGGTAAGAATACTCATATCATGTACTACGAATGTCATCCCACTCAACTTTTCTGTCAAGAGTATAGAATGTAGTATTGCTGTTTGTCATTTTTCATAATCAGAAACAGAAATCAGTGTCAGCTTATCTGTTTACATACCCATCTGTTTTTGCCTCTTGTCCACTTTTTCCCTTAGAACCATGACAAATATAGGCGTTCATTCTTTCAGTCTGTTTATGCCAATATTTCTGGCATATTTGAGTCTGGATCTGATGTTTGCTTTGTCTCTTAAACTGGGTTACTAGTTTTCATCTTTGTATTTAGACCAAATTGAATCAGTAAATTTTCTACAAGTACTTTATGTAGAATGTGGTTTCCTTAAAAAAAAAAAATTAGACTAAAATTTTACTGTTAAGTGAAGATGAGAAAACTTGGAGAGTAATTATGAATGCAGTTAAAACCTTGCCAATTTAATCTTTAACTGTATTTACTATTTATCATTACATTTTTAAGGTAAGATTCTTGATGTTTCTTTTTAAATAGATATGATGATGCTATACAGCTATATGATCGAATTTTACAAGAAGATCCAACTAACACTGTAAGTTTGCAGATCATTCTGAAGATAATCTAAAGTTTATTTTAAAAGGTAAAATTAATTAATTGAAGAAATAATGAAAAGATATGTATGAAACCAGGTTTTATTTATTTTTTTATTTTATCTAGTTTGTGATGAGCTACATTTTATTTTAAAAAGATTGATTCTACAAGATATCTTACTAGAAAATAAGTAAGTTGAAATTTGGGGCAAATAGACTGTGTTTACATAAAAGTCCAGTAGAGCTCTGTTTTTATAATATTTTGAAGCTTATGAAATACTGACTAGTTTTTGTAGCTGTTTTTTAGTTGTCTTAATGAAAGATGAAGAAGCTCACCTCAGTGATTACTGTGTGGAATTAATGCAGATTTTTTTTTCTGTTTTCTCTACCTTATACATGATTTTAAAAAGAAAAATGTATAGATGGTAGTAATTGTTTTAAAATACCCTAGTGAATTTTTTAATGTTGACAATATTTTAATCTAATAATTGGCATAACTTTTTCAGACTTTCACTAAATGAAAAGTTACAGAGAAACTTCAGATAACATTTCAGACATTTTAATGCTGTATGTCATTTCCATATATACATGTGTCTGCTAAAAGAAAATGTTTTTAGAATTTTAAACAAAAACTAGGTTTTGTTTTCTTTTATAGAAGGAAAAATAGTTATATCAACACACAGTACAAATTAATGAAACTTTTATTTGGCAAGTATTTCTTTAAAAGTAGACTTTTTAAAAATCATGTAATGCATGGTTGTAGATCTTACAACCATAAGCAAAAATGCTTAATAATTGGACAACAGTGGAAAAAAGGCAACATCATTAACACATGGTACTGAGTAACCACATGTAAAAGACTGAAATTAAATCTCTGTCTCTCACCCTGTACAAAAATCAACTCCAGATGGATTAAAGACCTTAATGTGAGACTGTAACTTTGAAATTACTATAGGACAACCTTTCGAAAACACTTCCAAGATATGGACATGAACAATGACTTTCTGAATAGGACCTCAGTAGCTAAGGAAGTAATGGTCAGAATTGACAAATGACATTGTATTAAAAACTCTTGCAAAGCAAAAGAAACAATCACAGAATGAAGAGACAGCCTACAGGATGGGAGAAAATCTTTGCCAGCTATTAATCTGACAAAGCATTAATATCTAAAGTATATATAAAGAACTCAAAACAGCAAATCTCATCAGTCAGTATGCAGTGGAACTGAACACTTTCCAAATGAAGAACAAATGACCAGTAAGTACATGAAAAGATGTTCAACTTCCTTATCCATTAAGAAAATGACAATCAAAAGTACTTTGAGATTCCACCTCACCCTAGTCAGAATGGATATTGTCAAGGAAACTTAACAAACACTGGTAAGGATACAGGGGGGAAAGGAACGCTTATTCATTGTTAGTGAAATACAAATTAGTGTTGCTACTATGGAAATAAGTGTGGAGGTTCCTCAAAAAATTAAAAATACAACTTCCATATGATCAGCCATACCACTTCTGGGTATATACCCCCAAGGAATCAGAGCAGAGTCAGCTTACTATAGAGATACTTATATCCCTGTGTTTACTATGACATTATTCATAATGGCCAAATTAATAGAGTCAGCCTAGGTGCCCATCAACAGATGAATGATAAAGAAAATGTGCATCCAATAGAATTTTACTCAACCAAAAAAAAGAGTGAAATTATTCCTGGGAAAATGGATGGAACTGGAGATTATCATGTTAAATGGTATAAGCAGTCTCACAAAGACAAGTACCACATTTTTTTCTCTGACTTGTGGAATCTAGGAGGGAAAAAAGAAAATGAAAATAAAAGGAGGACTACTCAGAATCTAGAAAAGAAAGGGGAAAAGGGGGAGGGAGATAAGAAAGAGTAATAGAGGGGATAACTATGATGAAAGTACATTACATGCATGTCTGGAAATGTCATAGTGAAACTCCTTACTTTGTATACTTAATATATGCTAATAAAAAATAAAAACAAAGATTAAAAAAAATTAAACAGTAACTTGATTCATTTTTAAGAAATTATTTACACTAAAGAAATTACTTAGTATGAAAGTGTTAGTTTGTGGAGCACATTTATCCCAGGCACCATCCCCATCTCTGCTTACTCTTTTTGACATTCTGTAATAATACATGTTTTAGCAGTTGAAGTGTTGCGTAAGTTATAGATTCCTACTTTTAATATCTTTCTCCAGGGAGATTTTCTGTAGAAACTTCCAGGTTTGTTTATTCATTTGGTTTTATAGATATTTGAATGGAAAGGTTTCATTGTTTTGTGATGATTCTCATAAAATATAGAATGTTGAAGGAAAAGTTTTGACAGCTGTGAGTCTGTATGTTATAAAAAGCTGAAGTAAGAAATAGTTTCTAGAAATTTATGTAGATACTGTTAATAGAATTATAACTGGAAATTTTTCCAATCTTAATTATCCCAATAGCTTGCTATCTTAGTTAAGAAAAAAAAGTCTCATATAAGACGCACCCTTTTTCTTTTCCTAAAGATTTTTTCATGTACTTAACTTGACTTAGGCGACTTCACCAGTTTTATTTTACACTTAGCCGTATATTGAAAAAGGTGAAATCAAGTTTCCGAAAAGAGTTCCCAAGTTTCATTTATTTTTCTCATGCCAGGTTAATATCAGTAGCTAGTCATTTAAGTCAGTTTCTTTGAATTAGGAGTCAAATATTTTAATTCTGTTGAAGCTTAAGTTGGGGACATTTTTAATTATTTCTTTAAGATGTGAGGTAATATGTAATTAAATACTATTCTATCTTTTTAGTGCCTTTCATATTTTATGGAATTTTATGACTTGAGACTGGCTAAAAGAAAAATCCACATGGTTTCTTTCATAAAGT